GGCACCCATTGTGCACACAGCTTTCTGTAACCCAAAACTTCAGCCAAAATATTGCTCACACTGCCTAACGAAATCCCTAGGGCTTCTACTAAATCTCTCTCGGTTAATCGACGATCTTCCAAAACCATATGCTGTATTTTTGCTACGATTTCTGGTGTTGATGCACTTTTTGGACGCCCTTCACGTGGATCGTCTTCAAGACTCGTACGACCACGTTTAAATTCAGCAACCCATCTTTCTACTGTTCTGATTGAAGGTGAAGAGTCCTTATACACTTTTAACAATCGTTCATGAATTTGTTTTGGTGCTACACCTTCCAAAAATAAGAATTTTATCACTGCACGATATTCGATTTTTTCCATCGTAAAAAAATACAATGACACGTCGACTTTGAACAGCTGCAAATATACAATGAGTTGACGGATCTACTTGAAACTTGACACGTGTTTATGAAATAGTAGTACTATTTATAGAGTAATAAAGTGACGCTCCTAATAGCGCCATCTCTTATCGAACGACAAAACTTATTGAACAACCTGGTAATTTCACATATTTTTTTATCATTATCAAATTGTTTAAATTATAGTGTTGAAATTTAAAGTGTTTAAAAAATTTATAATTTTTAATAAAATTAGATTCTTCAGTCTGAAAGAAATGGATCTTGGTTACCAGAGAAACAGTTTGTACTCACCAACCATTTTCCTGCTGCTAAAGTGAATATTTTTTATATTGATATTAACATAGTAATTATATATGAATGTTTTTAAAGGAAATAATCTTCAGCATTAACTTTTTTTTTTTACTAACTTGAGATGAGCAAAACAAGTTATACTATGACATAATGTTTTATTTTGTATGTCAATGAAATATTTATATTTATATATCATTATAGGTTACAGAAAAACCATCATCAATTACGAAAACCATTTTACATCATTTTGGTCATTTCTTTATTGGTTCTAATTGTTCAGTTCCAAAATTTATGTTGGAAAAATTAATTTATCTGTATGGAGGAAAGGTAATGATAATTATAAATTTTTAGTATAATTGAAACATTTATTGGATCAAATTTAACATTAAATGCTTTTGTGAAACATATAGCAGATTTTTTCACAATGAAAAGTCTGTTTTGTAATCTTGGTTATTTTCTGAAATATTGTTTAACACAGTAGTATCTATTTATAGTTGTTACAGATATTGTTATAAGAATTAGTATTTCTCAAAAAACTAAAATACACTTATAAAACTTCAGAGTTTTGATTATACACCCATAATGCATAATGCACACCCATATTTTTGACCAAAACTTTCAGGAAAAAATCTTTCATTTTAATTTTTTATTTCAAACATTTATTTATTTTTATTTAGGTATTTGTTTTNTGATAAAAAACTCCCATTAAAAAAACATTAAGCCTTAATCGAGCCTTATCAAAGGCCCATTAAAATCGCGATAAAATTTTTTCGCGTGCGCAAAAAATTCTGAAAAAATTTGGGGACCTAAAAAACATTCCAAAAATTCAAAAAAAATAATTTTTTCAAAAGTGGCCTTAACGACGTAACGCTATAAAACTTGCTCGAGTCACACTCGAGCGCGGCTCAGAAGGGGTTAATTCAAGTTCATTATACCTTTCAGTTTTCTAGCATCTCTATTTTCTGCATTCACCAACTTGCTTTTCTAATTTAAAATATTTCCTATCATGTATCTATTTACATTTTTCATCCAGATGAGAGAAAAGTGACTGGTAATATAAAATATATTTTTGAAAGCATGTTGGATGAGTTTCACTATATGCACAAATTACTTGCTTGTGCTAACTGTAAGAATAGTTTTTTTCTCTATTATATAAAGACTAAAATAATTACAGTATAGTATGTACTCTACAGCAAGAATTTGGAGCACGAAATGATCTAGAGCTTCAGGTTTGGTTGTCAGAATATACATCCTACTCTCTTTAATTAACCTATCCCATGCTGAAATTTTTTTCCGTTGCGTGTGGCTGTCATGTTGAATTTTTGTTGATGTTTGTTAAGCCTAATGAAAATTTTTTTAAAATAATAATTGTGACTACTGTATCATTAAAAATTATTTTTTTATTTTGTACAAACAAAACAAATATATTGAACAATATAAAAACAAAAAGAATTATATTTCAAAAGTTCATTTTAATATAAAAATTATGACACATAGCAACATCTAGTATCAAAAACATTCTGATGCAGAAGCAAGTATATACAGGGTCAACGAGTCAGGTCAAATGAGGTCACCACGAAAATACTTGGGAACAACACAGGACAGGTTAATGACTGTTGGGCCATGTGCAGACATTAACTGTTGTAATGGTCACTCCTAACCATTAGTTCAGTAAGAAAAAGCATTACTCGTGACAAAACTCCTTGTTTTCACATTTTAAAGATTCTAAGAACTCTCATTTCCACAATATTTCCTTAAATTAATTTTTACAACAATAAACAAAACTATGGCAGTTTATCCAAAATACTTTGTATGGAAAATCACTATTATATTTTCAATCATGGTTGACAGATGGCAGAAAGTGGGGTGGAGGTTTATACTATTGATTTACTATGGAACAAATTGCTTTTTGGGAAGTTTTGGGAAAAACAAATCGTTTTTCCTAAACCCAGGGTGGCAATATATAATGTGTTTTGACTGTATATGAAAACTTGCTTTGAAAATTATAAAAATTAAAATAATATAATAAAACTAAATTTTTTATTTTTTTATTTCAGCTAATGCCTCAAAAGGAATAACAGTAATTAAGCATAATGTAAATTTAGAAAAATCATTTGAAAGCCAGACTTGCTTAACTATAAATTCAGAATCAAATAATGAAAAGTTTAATATTCTTAAAGATACAAATGAAAATTTGGAAAGCCATGAAAGAAGTAAAAATGTAAAAAATTATAAAACAAAGAAGAAACAAAATAATCGGTCAAAAATGAAAATTAATTCTAAAAAGGATTTGCAACAAAAAGATTTTTCATCAAATGATCAAACAGTATTAAATAATTGTTTTGAAAAACATAAAAGAAATCAAAATAACGATACTTTCAAAGTCAATACAAAAAAAGCAAATACATTATTAAAAAGAAATGAACTAGTTTCAAAAACAGGTAAAAAGAATTTGAATAAAGAAGAAGATTCAAATATTTGTAAATCAGTCCAAGGAAAAAGTGATTTCATTCTTTCAGTATTGGATAATACTGAAAATCCACCAGTTTCTATAATACAAAAACAAGATTCCACAATATTTGGTAATTTCAGCAATCAAACTAAGTTAACTGAAAGTATTTCTTCCAATGCTAATTCAAATTCAGAGACACTTCTAATAACAGGCTTGTCTTTAGAGTAAGTAGGAGAATTTCAAAATTATAAATTCTTAATTTTTGATATAATCTTCTAAAAAATAATATAAATTACAGGTGCTCCCCTACTTACGAACTTTCAGATTTACAACAATTTGACTGTTTGTCTAAAATTTAATCTTTGCATGGATTATGAAGTTCTGTTGCCAATTACAGGGTGGTGTCAAAGTCAGTCCATGGCTAATAATAATGTGGTCTTATTTCTATTGTATATTCTCATTTTTCATTTTTGCACAATTTCTGAGGTTCCATTACCACTTTTGAGGTGATGTTGCAGTAACAGCATGTTTTTGCTATTGTTTGCAATTTTTATAAACTTTTATGATTAGTGTATCAAAAATAAATGTAATAGTAGATCTAGCAGTGAAGATAAATGTAAGAAGTGTCACTCTATTATTGTGGAAACTATACTGGACATTATAAAACTAAGTGCATTAGGTGAGAAAACTGCATTTGAAACACTAGTAGAGAGTGGGTAAAAGAGCATAATGTATTCTATTAAGTATATTGAAGAATTAAACACTAACAATACATGGTTATTCTGTGTACAGATGTACTTTCTAGGTTACTTTTTGACTTATCACAGACCCTCAGAAACTTAACCTGTTTGTAAGTGGGGAGCTTCTGTACTATTACAGTATTGAAAATTTAAATTTTATTTTTAATTAGACCTTCCAATATTAATGTTATATTTTAAATCAATAATATTTCTGGTACCTGAAAAATCTAATACACTCGTTGCCATAAGAATTAGTGCACCAAGTTGTTGTAATATTGCTGAAAACTTGGCATTGCAGATAGGTCTTGAGAATATGGAAATGATTAGAGTTATAGCGTGATGGCTCATTGTGTAGTGTCAGCAGAGGGTGTTAAAGTATGTCCTCCTTGGCCTATAAAAAAAGCATGCAAAGGCATCCTGTCTATAGTTTACCTGTTGTAGAGGGATACTGTATCAGTAGAGATGCCTTTACATCACAGTCAAAGACCAAATGAACAATTAACCAAGTTTGAAAGTGGAAGGATCATCAGGTTGAGAGAAGTCAGCTTGCTGAATAGTTACCACCTAGACTGTTCTGACAACACTGTGAGTAGGAGGTGGGATTAGTGGATGAGAGAGAGCTTACACACATGGCACCCAGGCTCAGATGTCCTCGACAGACCACTAGCTGAGAAGACTGCTTGTTCCTCCAACAAGCATGCACACAGCTAACCATTTTGTTGATGATGATTGCCATCTGGACACAGTCCCTATGTCTGTCCATACCATTTTGAGGCACCTGGGTGAGGGACATTTGGTATTGTGATAGCCATTACATCATTGTGTCCATTTGGAGTAGTGTTGCTCCCGATACAATTGGACCACAATGGAGCTCTACAGTGACAAATCCAGATTCAGTTGGGCACTGTTGATGCTCATGTTTGTGTCTGGAGGCCCTGTGTTGAATGCCTCAATCCTTCCTGTGTGTTGGAGTGGTGCACTGCCCCCACAGTTGGTGTGATGGTCTGGGGTGCCATCACATACAACAGCCATTTACCTCTAGTAGTGATCCAGGTGACCATGACAACCCACTAGTATGTTAGTGACATCCTGCAACCACATGTTTTCTCATATGGCAGGGCTCCCAAGAGCCATTTTCTAACAAGACAATGCTTGACCACATGCAGCAAATGTGACAATTGGCAGAGGCAGCCACAGGACTGCCTCTGCCAATTGTCACATTTTCCTGGCCTGCCCATTCCCTGATTTGTTACCAATAGAACAGGAATGGGATTACCTGGAATGCCAAATTGGACAGCCTAGAGTTTGGCTGAACTAGAGGAATGTTTGCAGCAAATGTGGACTGAGATGCCACAGACACCATATGACACCTGTATGTCTATGCCCACCCATATCACATTGTGTATTCACACTAGAGGTGGCCCAACAGGGTACTAGAACCTCCTTTTATTTGTAGTTTTTCTTGCAATAAATGATCCTTTTTTTTTTTTTTGTAATCACTTACTTATTGGGCTGCCATTTGAATAAAATTGTAGATCTGTAAATTCCCACTGTTGTCCATCTGTTTGTCTGTCCTTCCTTAATCTCGAGAACAGAGTTGGATAGATGAAAGATGAGATCAGATGTGGAAACCTTATGGGCATCAGGTCCCATTAACTACATATGAACTTCAGATGCAAACTGGAAGTCACATTATTTCAATTCAAAACTTCTCCACTGAAAGCAGTTAATAGATGACAGGCACGACTCTATTGTTAAAGGAAAAGTATGATGTACAGGGGCAAGCCATTACTAATTTGAGGTGCAGAGCATATATTTTAAATTAAATAAATTAAAAATATGATTAAAAATAATGGCATTGTGACAATGTCACAATAAATAATTGCTCATATCATTATTACACTCACATGTACAATTTTGTTCCATTCTGACAACTCCTTTGGTGTGCTAATTTTTATGGCAACAAATATATGTATATATTTATTTATTTTATTTTATTTCTAGTGAACAACAAACTGTAATTAGAGTTGTAAGGAAACTGAAACGATTCCAAATAGTAAAATGTATTCATAACAATACCACACATTTAATTTCTTCTGGTAAGCGAACTATAAATGTATTACTGGCTATGGCACAAGATTGTTGGATACTTTCATTGGATTGGGTAAGTAAATTTCTAAAATAATTATAGTTTAACTCTTTTGGTACTTTCCAATTTTTAATGTTAATGTAATTAAACATAAAAAATACTTAAAACTGAAAAAATGAAGGAAATGCATTAATTTTGAAGAAAAAGCTTCAAACTTTATTTTCCATTGTCTCGCCTTTCTGCGAAATTTGACACCAATGAGTCATTGTGTTTACAACTGGATGACCTTTAGAACAGCTGGTGTTGGATTTCCTGGGACATTTTCATAAAACTTACAGGAGGCAAAGGGTTTATAGTATGGTGAATACTAGCTGGCTGTATATTTTTAAATATTTTGTAAAAAATTACGTTTTTTATTGCAATTTCCAACCCCCCCAATTTAATTAAACGTATATATAATAAAATATATTAATTAAAAAAAAAATTTAAAACTATTGGAGGTTCGTTTTTGACATCAGAAATTAGCTTTAAATAACTTTACCGAAGTAAAATCCATGCACTAGAACTTTAGAACGATGAATGAAATTTGATTAAAAAATCCTATTAAAAAACAATTAAGCATTAATCGTGCATCATTAAACGTAGATTAAAATTGTGATAAAATTTTTTCCCACGCGAAAAAATTTTTGAAAAAATTTGGAGACTTAAAAAACATCCAAAAATCCAAAAAAAAAAATTTTTCCGGGGTCCAAAAAACCATTTGTTTTGTAACGCTATGTAATCTGCCCGAGTTATCTCGGGATAAGGGCTTAAGGGTTAAATTAATTCTTTTACCTCTGTCCTTACTTTTTACATTTCTGTGTATGTATTGTCTACTTACACTTGGCTTATTAATAGCCTCATTTACTTTATTGTTCAATATCAAAACAACATCAATACAAACATAAAGTATCCAAAAGACAGAGTAACATATCATTCTTTAAATAACACCTGTATTAAATGATAAAATTTTTTGTAAAAGACTTAAATTACTTAAAATATTTCTGTACTCACTGAGCTTGGTTAGTTATTTTTTTGGTTTGGTGTTTTTTATATTCTTATTTCCTTTTTCTATTATTTTTTCTATTGTTACTTCTGATTTTAAGTACTTTTCTACCCATTATAACCTCTATAAATGATACTATTCCAGACATCACTTGATACTGTGTATTGTGCAATGATCTTTCTCAATAAGAGAACCAATGCTTAGATAGTTTCTGGCACTGAATTATCGTAAATAATTCTAAGGCAATTGGCTGATAAACTGGCAATGATACTATTAATTCTATTATTATATTATATTCTATTATATTATTAATTCTATTACATCGTTTTTTTTATATAAATATGTTCAAATAGTTATCTTTTAAATACATTTCTTTTGTTTTTTCTTTATTCTTACCGTATTTAAATTAATTTCCCATCTTATTTGTTGCAATGCTCAGGTACTGCTGAATTTGAATAATTTTCTTTAGTTGCTCTGATATGTTCCTTTATATACATTTTAAGTTTTATGTTTGTTTCACCTATGTATATTTTTTTTTTCTTATCCACAACTACATTGAAAATAATATACTACTACATTTTCTTTCATTATTTCAATTTTATTATTATTTCTATAATATAAATGTTTTGTAAATAAATTATTTTTTGCATATATTAAATTTATCCTATTGCTTAATGGTTTTCTTGCTCTTTCAAATACAGTAGAGCATCGTTTATCCGAATCAATTGATGACTGGGGTTGTTCGGATAACTTATTTTTCGGATAACCAATTATGTACGAAAAAATATATTAATTTATCCTGTGTTGAAATTTTTCTCTGTTCCGTGTCGCTTCGCGTTGAATTTTCGTCGATGTTAAGCCTAATGAAGATTATTGTATCATTAAAAATTATTTTTTTATTTTGTACAAACAAAATAAATACATTGAAAAATATAAAAACAAAAAAATTATACTTTAGAAGTTAATTTAGTATCAAAAACGTAAAATATTTGAGTAGCCGAAGACATAGCCAAAGATTACAGCGCCACAGCACTGGCAAAAATTTAAATTTGTCGACTGAAATTCCTTCGGATAACCGACCTTTGGATTAACGACGCTCTATTGTAGTTTAGGAATATAATTTACCAAGTTGTTCAATAAGTTTTGTCGTTCGATAAGAAAAACACGATTTTATGGTTTGAAATACATTTTATTATTCAATATAATCTCCCTGAACTTCAATACACTTGTTCCAGTGATCTTCTAATTTATGGATTCCATCCCTAAAGTGAGAATCCGGAAGACTGACGAAATATGCATCCACGGCTGCTATTACCTCTTTGTTTGATGAAAATCGTTTCCCACGCATGAATTTTTTTAGATGTGAGAACAGCCAGAAGTCAGAGGGAGCTAAATCTGGCGAATAGGGAGGATGTTGCAACAATTCGTATTTTAATTTACTGATTTTCGCAATGGTTTTTTGAGCTGTGTGAGAGGGGGCGTTGTCTTGATGAAAAATGATTTTTTTCTTTTTTAAACCAGGTCTTTTCTCACGAATTTTTACATCTAGCTGGTCCAAAAGGTTACAATAATAATCTGAGTTTATTGTTTTACCAGTTTGGAGGTAATCCACAAACAAAATTCCTTTTGCATCCCAAAAAACTGATGCTAACACCTTCTTGGCCGATTTCTGGACCCTAACACGCTTCGGAGCCGAAGTACCGGGTTCACACCACTCTTTAGCCTCTTGTTTTGATTCAGGATCATGGTGGTAGACCCATGTCTCATCCATAGTGATGAAACGACGCACAAAATCCTTTTTATCCTTTCTAAAACGCTCCAAATGTTGCTGAGAAAGTTGCATTCGAATGTGTTTTTGTTCCATAGTTAACGAATGCGGCACCCATTGTGCACACAGCTTTCTGTAACCCAAAACTTCGGCCAAAATATTGCTCACACTGCCTAACGAAATCCCTAGGGCTTCTACTAAATCTCTCTCGGTTAATCGACGATCTTCCAAAACCATATGCTGTATTTTTGCTACGATTTCTGGTGTTGATGCACTTTTTGGACGCCCTTCACGTGGATCGTCTTCAAGACTCGTACGACCACGTTTAAATTCAGCAACCCATCTTTCTACTGTTCTGATTGAAGGTGAAGAGTCCTTATACACTTTTAACAATCGTTCATGAATTTGTTTTGGTGCTACACCTTCCAAAAATAAGAATTTTATCACTGCACGATATTCGATTTTTTCCATCGTAAAAAAATACAATGACACGTCGACTTTGAACAGCTGCAAATATACAATGAGTTGACGGATCTACTTGAAACTTGACACGTGTTTATGAAATAGTAGTACTATTTATAGAGTAATAAAGTGACGCTCCTAATAGCGCCATCTCTTATCGAACGACAAAACTTATTGAACAACCTGGTAATTTCACATATTTTTTTATCATTATCAAATTGTTTAAATTATAGTGTTGAAATTTAAAGTGTTTAAAAAATTTATAATTTTTAATAAAATTAGATTCTTCAGTCTGAAAGAAATGGATCTTGGTTACCAGAGAAACAGTTTGTACTCACCAACCATTTTCCTGCTGCTAAAGTGAATATTTTTTATATTGATATTAACATAGTAATTATATATGAATGTTTTTAAAGGAAATAATCTTCAGCATTAACTTTTTTTTTTTACTAACTTGAGATGAGCAAAACAAGTTATACTATGACATAATGTTTTATTTTGTATGTCAATGAAATATTTATATTTATATATCATTATAGGTTACAGAAAAACCATCATCAATTACGAAAACCATTTTACATCATTTTGGTCATTTCTTTATTGGTTCTAATTGTTCAGTTCCAAAATTTATGTTGGAAAAATTAATTTATCTGTATGGAGGAAAGGTAATGATAATTATAAATTTTTAATATAATTGAAACATTTATTGGATCAAATTTAACATTAAATGGTTTTGTGAAACATATAGCAGATTTTTTCACAATGAAAAGTCTGTTTTGTAATCTTGGTTATTTTCTGAAATATTGTTTAACACAGTAGTATCTATTTATAGTTGTTACAGATATTGTTATAAGAATTAGTATTTCTCAAAAAACTAAAATACACTTATAAAACTTCAGAGTTTTGATTATACACCCATAATGCATAATGCACACCCATATTTTTGACCAAAACTTTCAGGAAAAAATCTTTCATTTTAATTTTTTATTTCAAACATTTATTTATTTTTATTTAGGTATTTGTTTTTATATTATAAAGGAATTTTGGCAATTATTTTTAAAATACTATGGTACAAGAAATTTTTATGTAACAAATAATTACAAAAAACAAGAACATACAAGGTATAAGAAATTTTATGTACTGTAACAAATTTATATTTATACATCATAGAAGACCAAGAATTCTATCAATATCAATTTCTACATTACCAGTGTCTTTTGAAGAGTCACTTTGCTGATCCTGGTAAATTTCATTACTGAGAATAATAATTAATTACACAGATTTTGTCAGTAAAAATTATATTTGTTTTACAAAATCTAACTATAACTTTACATATTAATAAACTTTAGGCTATTTTTTATATTAAGCCATTTTTGTAGTATGAAATGCCTATATATTTCTGTGGGTGCATGCAAAAACCTGATATGTAGCAAAAATAACATTTCAAGGTATTCTGGCATAAGGGTTTGTATTCTGTTGCTGCAAGTGATAATCTGTAATTTGATGGAAGGTTTTGTTTGTATTGTGAAACATTTATTAAGGAATCTCTTGTAAAATTCAGAAAATATATGAAATAGTTGTTATCACATAATAATAGCTTTATTGACTAATGTACAGTACATTTGAAAATTTGCAAATGCCTTATACATTATACTAATCATTTATCACTATCTGATAATTGTTCTACTTCACTACAGTCATCATCATCAGCTTTTGTATGATTTAAAGTTAACCTTCAAAGCTTTTTTGGAGTGTTCTGCCTTGCTTGAAAACCTTAATAATATGCATGGTACTGAGTGGAAATGTAGGCCATAAGTTTTTGAATGTCTTGCAATTTAGCCAATGGATGCCTTTGTTGCTCATTGTATAGCAGTAGCAGGACACTTTTTTATTGTTTGGTTTTCCTCTTTTGATGATGATTACTTGCCACTCTGAATTTTCTCTGTGGGAATAAGCTAAAAAGAGACAAACAGGTTTGTTGCTGGCTGCTTTTATCTGCTATGCTTTCTGAAAACACACAGGCTGTTTATTGATGCATGTTTTCCTGAAAACTAGGTGCTAATGACAGGTTTCATTGATACTCGCTTTACACCATGCATTTTGGAGCATCAGTTTTTTATTGCTCTGCTCCAGCTTTTGTTTGGCATTAAAATGCCTGCTCCATGCACTGTTCCAGCAATAAAATGCTCTTTCTATTTGTTAAGAAAAAATTTTTGAAAAGAAATACTTAACATACTTAACTTCAAAAATAAAAAAAATAAAAATAGACTTTATTTCATAATGACACAACATTATTATTCCTTATTTATTCTATGAAATAAAATAGCAGAAAGTAAATCATCTTTCATTTTTAGTCAATGGTCATTTAATATTAATTTTGGAGTGGAAAATCTCTCCATACTCACTTGAGTAGTAGGCATAGTTGATGCAATATGACACATGGCTTGAATGCTCTTTGTGAAATTTTGAATTACCTCAAATACTGATTTTATTTTGAGCCTGTCCGTAGTCTCATTATATTGCAATCTTTACAAAAATGTCATTCGAATTCTCCTTTACTCAAACTGTGTAGTTCAGAAACTCACCTGCATTTTCTTATTTATTCAGTTCTTTTTCAAAATCATCATCTTCTGAAGTGCTTTTGAAATATCATATTCTTGTTGCAATAATTGAAAACTTGTCTGAGATAGTTCTATTGAAAATTTGATTCCTTCACACATTTGCACTATATGTTGAAAAATCTTGTTTTTCAAGGCATCAGGCTCTATCTAAGAGTCCTTTTCCTTTCATTATTTGCTGTGGACTCAGTAAAATCCTGTAGCATGGATTGATGTAAATTCCAGCAAGAAAATACACATTTTGAAAGAGTTTCTTCTCTCATTTTTGCACGGAGGACAAAACTCTCATTACAGTTTCTCCTGCACTGCGTTGAAAATGTTTAGCAAGTTTATGCCACTGTTTCATGAAACTTCCAGAAATACATAAGAGGCTTGAAAGTGTGATAGTTGTATGGTTTGGCTTTGCCAAGAGATGTTTCAATTTTTTCATTTCTTTCCATTCAGCTTTGCTTAACTTCACTTCTCTTGTCCCAGCAGCAGCTACTTGTTCACAATAAGATTGAAAGATGAAAAGCCATTCAATCATTCTGTATATGGAACCCCAACGAGTTAGTGTCCAGTGGTTGAGTTAATCCATATAATTCAAGTAAAATACTGCAAATATTTGGTGTCCATAATTTCACAACAACTTATTGAATTTTTCAAGGAATTTCTTTGAATGTCCTTTAAATCATCTCAGATTGCCAACTGAAGAATATTTATGCCACATCGCGTCACTTTTACTTTTGGTTTCAAATTATGTTTAAGTCGCCATATTGGTAGTATAAGGCTAGGATCCTCAACCCACTATATTGTATTGTTGGACATCATGTTTCTCAGATTTTTCTTCCAACAAAATAGTTTGTTTTGTTTGACCCATCACACTGAGAAACAGATCTGTCATTGTCAAATTTTTTATGGCATATGTCATTTGTTGCATTTTTGATGCAGATACTCAAATCCTGTATGCATAATGTGAGAATGAGGACGATGTTTTTATTTTTCACTAACTGCATAGTTAGTGAGAGTGACTTTCGTTGTCCGAAGGTCATCGACGAGGGACCACGATGTCACATGACCGGACGCTAAAAATGACCAAATAAGGAGTTTTCTACGGTGCGGATATAGTATAGAAAATTTCCTAAAAAGGTCATCTGTACGATGAGAAACATTACCTAAAATGGTAAGTCATCTCCCTAGGTGATGACGAATTTAACATTAATTGGTCAAGCGATGTCTGCATTGTCGTCACCCACGACGGGGGAGACTGTCATAAATCTGGAGAACTGTCAAAAGAGTAGCAGATTTTCCCACGCTAAAGAGTATATAAAGGGGTCGGATTTTCTACTCGGCGCTGAGCCAGGGTGCTTAAGCCGAAGAAACCCCTCTGCACACCTCAAGAGCGATCGTCGGGGAAGAAACATCGACGCATGATCTTCCAGCACTCTCAGGATCTAAGAAGCTCATAATTGCTGCTCCATGAAAGGTAAAGGACTTTGCTTATTTTCTATTCTCTCCATATACGACGGAATTACTCCTTGGAGAGGTTGATTGAAGAAACCTCCGAAGAACTTCGTCAAGGAAGAACTCTATATATTAGGAGCGACGGAGCATACACCGTAGAAGGACATCGCTCCACATAACCTTCAAAGGAACCTCAGAAAGCAAGACGACGAACACAGAGTGTTTTATTAACGCCCTATAATTGGAGAACGTTGCCTTCGAGGTAAACCCTTGCGAATATAATTTATCTCTCTCTAACGTGAGCTCTCTCTCGGATTTTTGCGTTATGTTAGAATAGTTTTTAGAATACCTATTTATATCTTGATTCACATATGTTGTATTTAACATCTTTGTGTAAATTTTCATAGTTGTTTATTAAATGTGTTCGTTAATTTCAACCCGTGTAGTCTTTTGGACACCTGGTCACGACTTCCAACTCCTCCCCACTCATATTTTGAGCGGGTCTTCCCGACCCGTGCAGATTAAGCGGTCATTAGGGTTCGACCCGGTGACCCCCTGCTACTCACAAATTGCAGTATTTACATTTTTTGTCACACAGACATCTGTATTTTCTAACTACTTCGGTGAAGAATTCCAAATATATTTGTTTCCTCATCGTTTTCGCTACACTTTCCACCATTACAACAATCAAACTACACGTGACTACGCGTCACAAATCCTTGCGTTTTTATTGATTTCAGTACGACAGAAGGCGGCCATACACGTTAAGTAAATCCTTTGAGGATTAACCGCGCATATCTGACCTTGAAAAAATTCAGAATTTACTATCGCCCACACACGAAGAAGAAAATCTCTCAGTCAGTCAGTCGGCCATGGCATCTGATGACGACATACTGGCTGTTTTTGGATGTTTATTGGCAACAAATTTTATTAAAACTCACGGGTAAAAAAGTATGCATTGAAGTCTATGGTGTAAATAGTATTAATAGTATTTGGGTAGCGCTGATCACAAAATTAATTTTTCAAGAGAAATCTTGAGCTATAGATTCTGTTAAAAAGAATCAATTATCAGCGGAAGATCAATGGCGAGTCGGTTTTACTACCAAATAAATTTATGAATTAAATTTTATCGACGAANTTGGAAAATCCACGCGGGCAAAGTTGCTGGTAACAGCTAGTTAAATTATAAATACAAATACGGTAGAGCATTGATTATCCAACTCAATTGGGGACTCGGGTTGGTCGGATAACTGAAAAATCGGATAACCGAAAAAAATGAAAAAAATACATTATTAGTATACATTATTTTACAGAAGAATTTTCTACATGTATCGTCACCAGGGGGCAACTTCTCTAAAAATCTACATTTTCCAGCACTAATCTTTAGTAGATAAAAAGCAGAAGAAACCCCAAAAGAAGGTATGATTAGGGAATTCGATCCCGGTCCTTATTTCTAATCCCGGGATTTTGGGATTATACTTATTCGATCCCGGGATCCCGGGATTATTTCGGTATTGAGGGTTAATAAAAAATAAGAAAATCTTACAGAAATTAAAAATCAAAA